CTGCAAGTTTGAACTCAATGATGACTACCCATCCCTGCCTTCCATGGGCTGGACCAGCAAGGATGTGGGTTCCCTCAAAGTCAGCTCTGGAGCGTGAGTCCTGGGACTGCAATAGGGGGCTAGAGCAGGGAGGCAATGGGGACCAGGGAGGAGGGTGAGGAAAGGCAACAGTGCTAAGAGACACAATGAACACACACGCTGGGGGGATGGGGGATTGGAGGAGTGAGGTCGTGGGAGACTTCGAGGCAAGGGGAAGTGAGATGGTGGAGAAGATGGGGAGGGAGGGGGCAGGTAATAGGAGAATAGGAGTCAGGGGAGCAATGTGGGGAGAGGAAGAAGTTGAAAGCCTGAGTGAGGAGGCAATGGAGGGTGGGAATAGGAGATGAGATGAGGAAGGTGTTAGGAAGACCTGGAGCAGTAGACAGGGCAGGGAGAGACCATGTAGGGAAAACTGAAGCCATGATTTTGGAGGTGGGAATTGGGAACTGAGAAAGGAGGACCGGCAATCAGCAGACATCACTGGGGGTGGGGGCAGAGCCGACTTACCACCTCTGTGCCTTCACTCGCCTAGGTGGGTGGCCTACCAGTATCCGGGCTACCGGGGCTACCAGTATGTGTTGGAGCGGGACCGCCACAGTGGGGAGTTCCGTAACTACAGCGAATTTGGCACACAGGCCCACACCGGGCAGCTGCAGTCCATCCGGAGAGTCCAGCACTAAGTCTCACAGCCCCAGAGCCTCCCCTGAGGACCCTCAATAAAGGCTCCTGAACCTGCCTGCCCCTCTTGCCTCCTTCTCAGTGTCTTGTTTTGTGACCTTCACCTTCATCTTTCTGAGAGTCCTTCTCTGCCAACCTGACCATTCCCCTGGGCCCCAGGATCCTTGACTATGGAGCATACACTGGCTTAGGATGTAAGTGACTGAGATGGGGCTGAGATGAAACTGCTGCTAACCATCCTCAGGAACTTGTTAAATGCAGCCAGCCCCACACCTCTCCATGATAGAGACCTCTCAACTTGGACCAGGGGGTCCTGCTAGCCCAGATAGTGCCTTTGCCATCCTCTGGTTTGAGTGCACACAATGCCATGGCAAGGCTCGTAGCTTAATTTCAACCTTCACACAGCCCCCCTGGGCCAGGCACCATCATATAGGGCAGGGCGTCCTTAACTCTGTGCAGGAGCCCCTTTGGGCCCCTCTCTAACCCCCACCCCTCACAGGCATTTCCTGCCTTTCTCTTCATCCTGGCTCCCTATCCAGCCTAAGGGAAACTTGCACCCATTTCCGAGTTACGTGGAATCTCCGCCTGACAGAGGAGCAAGGGTGTGAGAGGGGTAATTGGTGGGAGGTCCCACTGCTTTCTAGGGGAGACATCCTGTCTCTAAGCTGAGCCCCAAACCCTTTGAATAGCAATCCTTCATGTGGCAGTGAGCTCCAGAATTTTACAAAACATCTTCATTCCTTGCCTCTCAGCTGTCTCAAACAACTCCCTCCTCATTCTTCCTTCCCACTCTTCAGAAGACCAGTGAGCTGGAGAGACTGCTCCCGAGTCACTGACCACAGCGGGCCTGTGTTCCGGGGTAGGCGGTAGAAGCCCATAGCCATGTTTTGGGGGCTGAGTGTGGTAGCAGCCATTAGGGTCCATGGCACCAGTATAGCTTCTTCCTAGTTCCGTCTTTGACCCAGTTTACGATCATCTCAGCCCCACATAGGCAGGACATTCAAGACCCTTAGGATGCCCTTCATCCTGTCCCTCAGGGATGCTTGAATTTTCAAGCCGCTAGTGGATCTAGCCACAGGGAGGGTTGGCCCAGATCATTGCCTCTGTCTGGGGGAGTCAAGGCAATGTTGAAGAGAACTCAGACATGGACCTGGGCAGTTCCAGGGGCCCAGCTGGGGAAAATAAGGCATCTGCTCCCTTGGGTAGACCCCCCTGAACCAGAAGCCAGAACACCTGGGACCCAGCCACATAACATCCCCGAGTCTCAATTCCCTCACATGGAAAATGGAGCTCCAGATTCCTGCCTTGTCTCTTTCACAGGACAAGGATTGTGAGGATTCAAGAATGACCCCCTGAAAATGCTTGTGATTCAGAAAAGCACTAGGACAGTTACCATAGGCCCTGTCTTCCGCTATGGATCTCAAGGTTGGGTCAGAGGACCGAGGACAGAGTTCTAGACGGAGTATGAATTCTGCTTTACACCTGGATGGGTTCAAGAGTCCACGGCCCCTGTTGCATTTAATCCTCCTCTAACAGCTTCCATTCTTCACCAATTTCACCAATGAAGAAACGAGCTCCTCAGAGAGGGAGAAGCCTTAAATGGATGAGGTTATCCATTTAGTTGGTGACAAAGCCAGGACCTGAACACAGGGCTTCTGACCCCAAATCCAGACTGTTAAGTAGAGGCTGATCTGAGCTGTGGTCAAAAGCCTCGGGCCTCAGCAGAGCCCCAAACCTCTGTGTCCTGCAGAGGAGTATGGGGTTCCTGCATGGTCACAGGCTCTTAACTGTGCCCTTGGGGGTTGGTAATATTAACAGCTACATATATGCAACTTTATCTGAGCACTCAGCATGCTATATAAGCCTAATAATTCTGTATAGTTGGTATTCTAATCCTTATCTAACAGATGAAGAGACTAAGTTACAGAGGTGATGTAACTTTCTCCAAAACCACACAAACTAGAAAATGGGGGAGTTGAGCCCAGACCCAGGTGAACTGGCCTCAGAGCCCAGCAAGTCATCTCCCCACCACCTGGTTTGGGGCAGGCAATGGGCAAAGGGAGATCTGGTGTACTCCATCAGCTGAGCTGCCCTCCCTCCAGGAAGGTCCATGACTACCAAAAACACCCAGCAAGATGCCTTTGGGAACTTGCAGTGTGACGCTGATCAGGGCGCACCCTGTGTCTAGGTCTCAGTGTCCCTGCCTGTACAATGAAGGAGTTGGGAGAGCTAATATTTGTTGCAGTCTTTGCCAGCATGAATGGACCTTCTAGGTTTTCTCAGACATGGGGTCCAACTCTGCTCTCCACACCAGCAACTAAAGAGAAGGAGGCATAGATGCCAGGCTGGGCCTGGGTGTTTTCACCTTGCATGCTTAGTCGTTCAGTCGTGTCTAACTCTTTGAGACCCTTTGGACTTCAGCCTGCCAGGCTCCTCTGTCCACAGAATTTTCCAGGCAAGAAGAGTGGATTGGATTGCCATTTTATTCTCTAGGGATCTTCCTGATCCAAGGATTAGAACTTGCGTCTCCCAGGGATCCATGTCTCCTGTGTCTCTTGCATTGCAGGCAGAGTTTTTTCCCACTAGCCATCAGGGAAGCACCTTTCCATCCTCCTATTGTGAGTAGGCTGATGGGGTGTGCAGAACCCTGTGGGACCCACACCCAGTCAGGTGGGAGGCGATGGTGGAAGCTGCCTAGACCTGCTCATTGGTTGCACTCAGCCGAAGACCAAAGTGGATGGAGGAAATCATCTCATTTCTGGGGACACAGCCAAGATCCACATGAGGTCGGAGCTCACCCCTCACTCTCTCACAAGCTCTTCCGATAGCCCACCCCCTCCTTCAGCCGCTCAGTCCTCAGTGAGATGAGGCAGAGCCTGAGCTGTTAGTCCTTCACCAGCTCGGAGCTGGGATGTCTGGACAGACCCCCACTCTAAGTGCCTCTCCCTTCTCCCTCAGCCTTCTGCTGAGACCATTAAGTGAGTGAGACTTTGTCTCCCCACTCTCGCAATGCTGGTCTCCTCATTTTCTCTCTGGGGAAGTGACAGAAGGCTTGAAGGAGAGGGAGTAGGACCTTGGCCCCACCCTCAAGATGCTCTGCTCCTTTGAAGCCCTGAATTTTGTCCCCAGCCAGCATCCCAACTGCTCATCTTTTCCCCACCAGATTCCACCTCCACATCCTGAAGCCTCTATCTGTATCCCTTGAGGATCCTCTAGGGTCCTGGGATCCCCCCATTTCCTCCCACACTCTTCCTTGGCTCCTTCTAATTTTTGTATCCTCCACCAGGAATGAGGAACAACCCAGCAGTCACACCAAGTGAAGAATGCACAGGGTCCCCACCTCGAGCTGGACTTCCCAGCCATTCTCAGTCAGGCATCCCAGGACCAGGGATCTTACAGGTAACCTGCTTACTCCAATCCAAGTGCCCTGAAGTCCAGGCCTCCTGTCTCCTCGAGTTAAGCATTGGGAAAGAAAGGCTTTGAGTTTATCAGTTCTGCCTGGAGTCACCAGATGCTGTATGGCTGCAGGTGGTACTCCCGGCCCAGGGCCTCATTTTCAGCCAGCATCCCTCCAGATGCACTTCTCCAGAGCTAGGAAGCCTCACCTGTATACAGAGACTCCAGGCCACCACTTGGGAACCACATACCTGCCTTTGTCCCTTTCCCAGAGTGGATTTACTTCCACTTTCCCTGGGTTGGGGGCCTTGTACAGTAAACCTATTTTAACTCCTCTTCTGTTAGAGCAAGGTGCCAATTGCAGCCTAGTTCAGGGATAATCCGGAGTAGTTGTGAGGGTAGATGGTTAAGCTGGGATGACAAGAGATGGGGAAAGATAGGAGAGAAGTGGTTGTGGTGGGTGGGAATGTAAGGAAGATCATATGCCACAAATCAGTGGGAACAAATCAATGAGAAAAGGAAGAGAAAGAGAGAGACAGGATGGAGAGGTAGAGAAGAGACAGAAGGGGAGATAGGAGGAGGAGGGAGAAGGAGTAGATGAAAGAAGGAGAGACCTAGAAAGGGAAAAGAAGGGCAACCCACTAAAAGTTGTAAGGGCAACACCCCAGTGATGGCCCAGAGGCCTGGGAACCCTGGAAAGACAGGAAACCCGGGGAAACAAGAGGGAGACAGTGAAGGAGATCGGGTCTCTAGGGAAGAGCAGAGAGCGGAGGAGGAGGAGGGAAAAGTAGCGAGGATGGAAGGGGGTTAGATAAAGAGAGCAACGGCTGCCGACCCGGAGCGCAGCGACAGGCGAGAGGGAGGGAAGCGGAAATTTAAAAGTGAAGATGCAGATAAGGCAGCCTGGAGACGGGAACCCGGGTAGGGGTGGGGAGAGGAAGGGGAGGAGAGTGGAGCAGTGAGGTGGGGGGAATGGATGAGGAGTGAGCCTCCCCCTCCCCGCGTTGTGGCCCCGGGGGTCCGAGGTGGGGCCGGGGTAGTCCACCCCGTAGCTGTTTGCTCAGAGTCAGGGAGGCGGAAAAGAAATGGGCTCCTGACCCCCGTCAGAGCGCCAGGCCCAGGCCCATCCCCCGCGCGTCTCCCGGGTTGCGGGGTGCGGGGGGCTGCCTGGCGCGCTTGGCTGCCGCGCTGCACGTTGGAGACTTTATTGCGATGGGGCGATAAGAGGGGCGGGGGCGGGGTCCGGGGGGCCGAGGCGGCAGCTCTTTAATTAAAACGGAAATTGCGGCCCCTGCCCGCGCTGGGGGCCGGAGGGTTCCGAACAGCCTGGTAGCTGGGAGCGTCGCTCCAGGACCCCCCCACCCCACATCCCCCGCCGCACTCGGGCAGCCCCCTCCCGCCAGGCCCTGCTGGACCCAGCGCCGCCTTCTTCTCCCAGTCACCTCGGTCGCCTCGGGCGGGGATCTGTGCCCCGGAGCTCAAAGCCTGACGCGATCCCCCCCTCTCCCATTCCCCCCCCCCCCCACCTCCCACCACCCAGTCCCTGGCGGCGATGAGACAGAGCGGCGCCTCCCAGCCCCTGCTGATCAACATGTACCTGCCAGGTACCAGGGACCAGCTGGGGGCTGGAGGCACCGGGACCCGGGGCGGGAAATCTGGGTTAGGGCTTGGGACGGGGATGCTGGGGTCCAATGGAAGGGGGCGCGGTCCAGGGACTTGGATCGCTGGCAGAACTGAGCCAGCTAGGGCATCAGGAAACCTTAAAAGCAGATGGAGCGCTTTAAGGTTTAAGTGTGAGGTCTAGAGGACTTGAAGTGAGCACAGTGAGAGCCTGGGAAGCCAGGAGCGCCGGCTCGGGGGCTGAAAGAGCCTGGTAGGGGAGCAGGGGTCTTCAGTGTTGCAAGGGACTGAGCGCGCGTGCAGTGTTGGGGGGCTATGGTCTGCCGGGCGTGGCCCGAGCGCCCTCGTGGCTCCTCACCTCCGTGCTCCGAACGTTCCCACCAGCCCAGCCTTCCCGGCGTCCTCTCCTCTCCGGTGGGCTCTGCGCGCTCCAGCTCGGCTGGCGCAAACCCCGCTCGGCTTTATAAGGCTCCCGCCAGCCCGTTCGGAAAGCGGATTTCCTTTTTCCTGGACGCGTTTCCTGACTTGGGCGTTATGGAGGGGCTCCGCGCGGCGCGCGCCCGGGCCAGGCTCCGGGAGGAGGAGCCGGACGAATAGGGCCCCCAGCCTCTCGCCCGGGAACCAAGGCACCCCCCTCTTCCCCCTTGAGCCTTGGCCTGGGGGGCTTTCGGTCAAGTCGGCAACCTCCGCCTGGATCCGCTTGACTGTTTTGTCTCGCTGCCACAGATCCCGTCGGAGACGGTCTTTTCAAAGAAGGAAAGAGCCCGGGCTGGGGACCGCTGAGCCCCGCGGTACAGAAAGGTGAGCTGGCCGCCAGAGTGTACGGGCGGAGTCGAGGATGGGGTCTCGGGGCACCCGCCGCATACCGACAGGCGCCACTGTCACCCCAACAGCGGGTGGGAGCGATGTGGAACGCTGGGCTTTGGGAAACGGCGGGTCGGGGCCTGATTGTCGGGAGGCTGGGAGGCTGGGGGGGTGGGGGTGGGAAACATTCATGTGGCCTTTGGCCTTTGGCTCTGGCTTCTGAGACCCAGTGTTGACCCTGCCGGCCAGGGCAGACTGAGAAGACCTTGCTGACTCCACCCCACCCCGGCCTGCCCCTTTTCAGCTGGGAATGCTTTTCTCCTGCTCTGGTGCTTGGTATTCTTTCCCTACTGGCAGCAGGAGCACAAGGCTTGGACTTCACCCAGCAAGGTGACCCCGGAGAAGTACTCTCAGGCCACTCCAGGCTGAGTCACCATTAGCACCAGGGCCAGCACCCACCTGCCTCACTGGCCTGGCCAGCCCGGCTCCGTGAGCCAAGTCCTCTAGGCCATTTCAGGTGTCACCCGCCTTTGGCTGGTGGCTAAATTACCCTTGGCTTTGCCATGCTGGCAGCAGGACCTGGCTGACCTACCAGGGAAAGCCTCCCCACTGGTCCCTGCCCAGTTGGTACCCCGTGCGTCGTCACTCAGTCATGTCCGACTCTTTGTGACCCTTTGGACTATAGCCCACCAGGCTCGTCTGTCCATGGGATTTTCCAGGCAAGAATTAGTGGAGTGGGTTGCCATTTTCTTCTCCAGGAGATCTTCCCGAACCAGAGATTGAACATGAATCTCCTGTGTCTCCTGCATTGCAGGCAGATTCTTTGCGGGGAGAAGCCCCACAGTTGGTACCCTAGATCTCATCAAGTGACCGATAATTACCATGACCAGAAAAACAAGGCCAGCAACTGCTTAATCTAAAAGGGAGCACAACACCCAACAGGAATGAGTTTCCAGGCCTCTACATCTCTCAGTACCAGATGCACATTTCCCCCACCCCTTGCTGTGCTTCTGACCCTAAAATGCAGTATTTTCGTCCTGGAGCCAGGGAGCCCCTCCCAGAGCTGGTGTGAAAGGATTGGGGTCAAAATTATGGGGGAGGGCAGCATCTGGGTTCTGAGGAAATCACTGAAAACAGAAGAGAGCTTCACCAGGCTCAATTTAAAACAATAATCAGACAACTTCGAGGAAAATCCATTTTATTCTGAAAGAGTGTGTGTATACATGCTGGTAGGTGTGAGGACTGGGGTGGGGTGGGGTGTGGTGGGGTGAGGTGCGGTGAGGGTGTTAGTTCTGTCAGGATTTTTCTCCACTTGTCTGACTGAGGCTCCAAGACAGAGAAACAGAAGTTCTCACTACCCATTTATCTGGGAAAACCTCCTGGCCCTTTCTAGCAACCCTGAAAATCTGGACAGGGCAGAAGGGCCTGGAGTTTGGCCAAAGATGGGCAGAGGCAGGGAGCCAAGCACAGAAGCGTCTGGGTCTCCTCTCCTCAGAGCTGGGTATCATGTCCCCTGGTAACTGACACCTTGGTACCCTGGGAATCCGGCCTGTTCCGGAAAAAAAAAAAAAAAAAGGCTAAACTGGAGTAGCCCCAGCACCAGACGCTGGCAAGGGTGGGAGACTTCAGAGGCTGACGTTCCTCTCACACTTAGGGAACCACTGTCCCCATCCCAGTCTGACATGGTATCGCAAGGAAGCCAGTCATCACCTCTTCTCCACCTCAGGCAGAGGTTTCAAGTGTATGCCTTGTCCCGTGGGCCGAGTGATCCCGCTGCAGGCCGATTTCTCCGCTCTGGATTTCTGGACATGGTCCAGCTGGGATGTGGCTAGCTAACCACCTGTGTAGACTACCCCGAGCGGTTATGCAGGCTCTGCACCCGGTAAGGGCTCAGGCCGAGGGGTGATGTCCCGCCTTCGCTTACCTCCAAGAGCCCTGTGCCTTGGAGTACCGCTGCCCCCACACGGAAGAAGAGCTTTCCCTTCGCTCCCTAATTCTTGCAAAGCTGTGCGCCCGTGGGGCGTTTCCATTGTGCGAAAGCGCGGTACTGTCTAGGGACGGTTTTGCTGATCATCTCCTCCCTGGCCAGCCGCTCCAGCTGCGCCCAGTTACTCAGCTGGACGTGCCCCTTTCCTCCCTGACACCGGCCCCCACATCCGACTTGGGCGGGGGGAGTGGTGGGTTCTCGCACCCCACCTCTTTCCCGCCTCTCGCCTCCCTCACCCCGCCTGTGGCTGACCGCCCCATTCCCCACAGGCAGCGGCCAGATCCAGTTATGGCAGTTTCTGCTGGAGCTGCTGGCTGACCGCGCCAACGCCGGCTGCATCGCCTGGGAGGGCGGCCACGGCGAGTTCAAACTCACCGACCCGGACGAGGTGGCGCGGCGCTGGGGCGAGCGCAAGAGCAAGCCCAACATGAACTACGATAAGCTGAGCCGCGCGCTGCGCTATTACTACGACAAGAACATCATGAGCAAGGTGCACGGCAAGCGCTACGCCTACCGCTTCGACTTCCAGGGTCTGGCGCAGGCCTGCCAGCCGCCCCCCGCGCACGCCCACGCCGCCGCCGCCGCGGCCGCCGCGGCCATCGGCATGTCCCCCTGGAACTGCGACAACGCGGCCACCGCCGCCGCCGCCACCGCCATGCTCTGGGGCAGCG